CACACACACACACACACAAAGGGAGAGAAGGGAAGGGAGGAGAGAGGGAAGAGAAGGGGAGGGAAGGGGAGGGGAGAAGAGGTATAAAATGTTTAGCATGGCAAATAGCCCAGCATCTTGAGCCCTAATGTAGTAACATGCTAATATATGTTTACCAACTCAATGAGAAATGGAGACTTAAACTCTGATTTGTAGTGTTTTCTGATCTGCTGTGCATTGTGTAAACTCATCTACCAACCATGTCCAGTTTTACGTCAACAAAACCATGTTAATAAGATCATAGAATTCTTGGATATGTCATGATTTCTTCACGTATTCCAGTGTTTAGTGACTCTCCCAGAAGTTTGTCACTGACTTCTTTTTGTGTACTCCACCCCTACTGTATCCAGCACAAACCCTCCTCCACTGGACAGAGTTAGGTTCTCTGCTACATCTCACAGCTGTCTGTTTTTTCCTTCAGAGTACTTATATATTTGCCTCTTAATATCATCATTGTGTGGTGTTTAACATTGCAAGCAAGCATAGCTGTGTAGTGGTATGATCAGACTAGCTCTCAACTCCTTTCATCACAGATATTCTATACATCTGTCTCGTGGCACCTCAGGAAAACTGGGATGGAAGGACAGGAAGAAGTGTTGCGCAAAGACAAGAGTTCTTGGCTTGCCTCCATCACAACTCCAGAGAGTTCCCCACTTTCACACTTGATCTCTCTCTCTTCTTTATGAGATTTCTCTTGAATCACTTTGGCTGTGGAAAGGAAATTCAGGCTAGTTTTTGTTTTATAGATATGCAAAATAAGTGATGGGAGAAGCACAGAATGGGGGGAGATTATTCGTGGATCTCACAGGGAAAATGTCTCCTGGTTTCAACACTCTCACTTTCACCCCTTTCCTCCTAGCCCCAAGTCTCAGCAAAGTACACAATTTCCAACTCCACCACATTTCCAATATGTGGAGGTCTTTCCGAGACTGTTCCATATGGACCTCACATTTTTATCTTGCTAACAAAGTGTTTGTCTAAGATCATGCTCCTTGTTCTAAACCATTTTCATTGTGTTTCTTTCCACTGTGCACACAGCACCAGTGGAAACTTCACTGCTACCTGGAGAAAAGTCCCATGGTCCACACGTCTTCTCCATGGAAGTCTTCCTTTAGTTTTTAAACAAATTATGCTTTTTTAGAAACTATACAAATACATAACACAAAACAGTATATAGATAATGATCTGAAGAGAAACAATCTTGACTCTTGCTGTCCACATCACATTTCCTACCTCAGTATTCATCTGGATGCTTTAATCTACTAGACTCTTACAGTTTTATCAGAAACTCAGGATCTGGGACAAAAAAAAGTGACAGTACACTTCTAGAATACTATTTCTTTTTCTGTGCAACTAGGAACCTCTTGTAGGCCATAGAGATTTTAATTCACTTCTCAGTGATATCACATTCCAGGCATGTAACCTCTGACTAGTCATTTTCTGTCTCTGAGGCTCAATATCAAGAGAGGAAAAGCATGTGCCTTCTATAGATTATTGAAAAAGCAATATGAGACAAGTTCTGGCATAAAATAAGTGTTCAACAAATGATTTCCACATGTTTCCAACTGTAAGTGAATATTTCTATACTATAATTCTGGCCCTGGTAATCAGATAAGGGCTTATCTATAGGTTCGGTAACAAGTTTGCCTCTGACAAACACAAAGTTAGCTACTTTATCCTATTCCATTCAGCTAAACAAACTACATATTGAGTTCTTAATATGTGCTACATCCCAAGGGTATAAGAAATAACAGATATTCAGTTCTTACCCTCAAGGGACTGACAGTATAACCCATACCTGAGGTAAGAGCTTACACATTGTAAATATCTCAAAGACAGACAGAGAGAGAGAGAGAGAGAGAGAGAGAGAGAGAGAGAGAGAGAGAGAGAGAGAGAGAATCTTCTATGTCTCTTAGTCTAGACTGTAGAATGAGTGTCCAGTTGGTCACCTTTCCTCTCTTAAGCCACTACTCTCTGAGTGTTATTGGGCTGTTCCTCTATCTTCCCTTTCTGCATTAAATGATTCCAATCTTTCAATGTTCTCTTGGAGGTCCTATCTGCCAGCCTTCACTTCAATCATTTTCACTGTTCCCTCTGGAGTTGCTCCAAGTTCTCTACATTCCAGTGTGTTTCTTTGTCATTGAATTCAGTCTTCCGAGTAATTTATCCCTTCATATAGACAAAGGAAAAAAGGAAGAAACCTCTAGATAGGAGGAAGGCAGGTAGAAGTGAGGATGATTGTGTAAGTAAGGGACTCATGGAGAACATTCACATGCTCAAAGAGAATTAGCTCTTACTGTCATCAGCGGGGGGGGGGGGCTAAAACCAGAACAGTTTTTAAATAGTGCCAACCATTCTACTCACAATTATCTAAATTGCTTTTAAGTATATGACTTTTAATAGCAAACTTGATACTTGCTGTGGTTACATATGAGCTAATCAGAACAAGACCAATAAGAACCCTGACGTACAAAAGTTAAGGATATCAAACAAGAATGCTGGATTTGGTAAAATGCCTCTGGCCATCAGGTGGACAGATGATCTCTTTCTATGTCATTCACAGGCAATGGCTTGGCACCTGCAAAAGATCTTTCATTTGTGCTCAATCCATCAACATAATTAATATTTCTTGGGCTGGAAGTGCAGCAAATTCTAAGTGATCTCTTAAGAAATGATAGATAGAGGTTAATCAAATGCCTGCCGATCACAGCATGCTACCAACACAGGCAGCAAGAAGAAAATACAAAAACAAAGCTCTAGTAAAATATCCCTTCCAGACATACACAGCAGCTTGCAAGAAGTCTCTTTTCATATATTCTACCTGCCTTCTGTTATTGTGCCAGTGAGTTTTTCCAGCATTCTGAGAGACAGCAGCACATCTACTAGTGCATGCACACGCACACACACACACACACACACACACACGAGAGGTGGAAAGAGAATTATGTTTCTTCTATCACATTTCCAAATCCTCTAAAGAAGCAGTGAAAATTCCTACTAGTTAATGGTCTGTCTTTGCACATCTTTGTTTTTTAAACCATGACTTAAAAATGAAATGGTTTCTTTCCCCTACTGGAAAAGCTAAAAATACCTGCTGAGAGTGAAAGTCTTGGTTGTGTGTATATGTGGGGGATAGGGAGTAAGCATTTATCTTCTGTGCTAACTCCAGGCGAACAGTGTTGGCCAAGTCTAGTATAGTTTCTAAAGCTATTTGGGCCCCAACAAGACCCCATCTGGCCTAAAACTGGTTGGGCTGGCAGGTATCTATCAGGAAACAGCTCTGAGCAACAGGCATAAGAGAACAAGCTACATTATGGGACATCCTTCCTGCCAAGCTTTCCAAAGACCCCTCAGATCTAGGTTCAGAAGAGACTCATGGTTTGGTGTTGAATTGTCCCACAGAACTGTAGTTATACAAGTAGTAAGCTATACCAACTAATTCCTTAAACCCTCAGATAAACGCACTTAATATTGCAATTGTGAAATATTAAACACTTGAAGAAGACCAAGAACTTACCACAGAATCAGAACAAGAAAAAGCCTTGTGGATATGGGGAGAAAATTGTGAGATACTCCATTATCACCAGAGTTGAGTTGATTCATCACGTCTGCTCTTGACAATCCCCCATGTTCATCCATGGACTCTAGATGTAGCAGAGTAAAGGAAAGGCATATGAACACAACTACAACATGTTGGTGCAGTAACACAGTGAGAAGCTCTAAAAGAAAGGATATTGAAGCTGTGGCATGCTAATTGTTCCTTAACAAATATGCAGCATAACTCAGTAGTTATAATTTTTACAAAAGGAAGCCTCCACTAATGAACTGGCACTACAAATAGCCTCTGATTTCATTGTTTGGCAGTAGAGAGAGTCTTATAAATTCTGAACAACTGTTGAGAAAGTGAAAGCAGGCCTTTGATAGTGACATGTCACCAGATTGCCATGTAGTTAGTGATTATGGCAAGTAGCCAAAACCAATGGCTTAACAAATCGTTACTGGACACAACCCAGTATTTCCTTCTTTACCCAAATGTGTTCTTCATAGACTCAACACCAAAATAACTCCTAAAAGTCAATAATTTGCACCATCCCTCTGCAATCCACAATGTGTTGGGAAGCCATTTTTAATATAGTTTCAACATTGGAAATAACTTCCAAAAAATGTGATTTTGTTCATCAAACACACACACACACACACACACACACACACTCACACACATCTAGAGTAAGCAGGGGTCATCTGCTATATAGCTTTTTGGAACATGAAAGATTAAAATAATATTCCTGCTGACTTTCAAAAGCCAACCATTTGGGTCACTCCTTTTTTAAAAAAGGAAGAAAAGATAGCCAGCAGATTAAAGGAACTCCATTTATAAAAATCAAATGAACCTCTAACAAAGCTTATTTGGGGACATGAATAAATCATTCAGCCATGAATTATTCATTGTTATCAAAAAACAAGCTGGGGATTCCAGGAACCAGGCAGGATCTGGGTAGTGAGCAAATTTATAGTCTCACATCCTCCACAGGAAGGGAGAGGACCCTGCCATAGGTACTGTCATGTGAGGCCAACTGTGCCAATCCTCCATTCTTGGGACACGTTGCCAGTTTTACACCCAGAGAACAAAGCAAATAATGTTTCATCCATAATGGACTTAGTAAGAAGATGGTAAGAATGGTCTTCCCCACACTGTCTCTCTGTGTCTCTGTCTCTCTGTCTCTCTCTTACACTCTTGCTCTATCTCTCTCACTTTGACATACACAGCAAATATGAGATGTGTGCTAAGGGTTATGGGGCTGAAAGCTTGAATCAGAGGAGGTTGACTGGAAAACTGCTTGATGACAAGCTGTTGGCCCAGTCTGACCTCATTCACGACTTGGAGGTCTTGGGAAAGCACAGGAGAGGGGAGGGGAGGTTCCCAGATTTAATGAACTAACCAATGCATGTGTGTGTTCCAGGTCCAAACTGCTTTGCAGGAACTACAATAATTCCAGCTGGCATTGAAGTGAAAGTGGACGACTGTAACATCTGTCATTGTCACAACGGGGACTGGTGGAAACCCGCTCAGTGTTCAAAGCGCGAATGCCAAGGCAAGCAGCCTGTGTAAGGCAAATTCCCGAATGATGACAAGTTCTAGGAAGGGATGCTATGGTTTCTACACGGCACATGTTTAACACTCAACAAAATGAGCAAACAAACTCCTGCCAGCTACAACAGGGTCACCAGCAAAACCTTCTGGGGTTGACAAAGGTGATTATTTTACCAAGAGGAAAATTCTCTTTCTCTTGCTATATAAAATATACATAGCATACAGCCAATGTTTGATGGTGACTTGACGACCAAGATTTCTGGGACAAGAAAGAAAGAAAAAAAACAGCCTTGGACAGGCTCCTTCCCAGGTGATGCCTCTGAGCTGCCAGCTCATTTCCCCTGATTTCCTCCATTTTTACTTGGCTGTGCAGACTACACTTTTCTCTTGTGTGTTTTCTACCTTTGGAATCTAAAGAGGTCAGATTTGACTGCACAGTAAAGATTTGTGTGGCATCAAAAATGTTTGATAAAGGAACTTTGGTGGGAAATATCCTTCCAGAGGGGGAAGATGAAAGGGTGACCATGCAGTGGCTCTCTTGCAGGCAGTTATCATGTCTGTAGGCTGAGAAATACAGTAGTAGGCTGACTCCTCTGCAGATCAAGCTGAGGAACAACTGTTTTGTCCACTATGTTGGGGCTCACTGTTGATTCTTACAAACCACACATTTCATACATAAAACTTTGAAACTGCCAATCAGAAACAAGTAGATGAAGAACACCATGAGTTGACTGAAGAACCCAAAGAGACAGGTATTTAAAACACTAGCATTTAAATCACCAGACTTCTTCGTGATGCCAGCCTTGAGTCTGGTTTATAATTAAACATAACCACAAAGCCCACCTTGTCACCAGGCAATATAAATACCAGAACCAGGGTGAGTAGCCCCACTGTGAATCAATCTTTCTAAACACTTCTAGCTTTCAAGTTCCAATTTGGATGAAAGGCAGTCCTATACACAGCAGTTTTTATGATTTGGGACTGTGTTTACCATGTTACAGTAACCACCACTCAGCCCTCAGATCCAGGACACTTTCCACCTTAAGTGCTGATGTAAATTAAAGATTAGGGTAGAGTGAGTCTTGCACAATACAATGTCCTTAATTGAATATTTTTAGTGTATATATTAGATACTTAACTATTAAAATGAAACCTTTGAAGAGTTTCAAGGTTGCCCTGGTAATGCTGCTAGTATAATAATGGAAAAAATAATAATAAAAGAAATACACAGGGTATCTGATGCCACCTCCAGTCAAGTGCAAAATTCATAGTTCTGAGATCCAATGACCCAGTCACTTACTCCGCTATTCATCCCAAAATCCCTGGTGCAGGTCTGAAAGGGAAGCTTCAAAGTTTTCTTCATGTCCAGTTGTCTTTTCTTTTCCTGTTTTCTGCTGCCAAAGCCAGTCTGGGTTTCATGGGGCTTCTGTGGAAGAACATATTATACAGAAGGATGTCTCAAGCTCAATCTCTGACATTTGGGGCCATATTGGTAGGGGCTGGGCTGCACACTCTTAGGGTGATGCTAGGTGGAATTCCTGAATGTCACCTGCTAGGTACAGGAACATCCACCGAGTTATAGCAACCAAAAGTCCCCAGACATTGCCAAAAGTCCTCAAGGGGTATGTTAGGAAACAAAATTTTACCTGTCTGAGAAGCTGTGCCATACAGCTGTATCATTTCTACCACATGACATGCCAGGCAGCTCCAACTAACTTCACACACATGGCTTTATGGAGCCCCTGAGACCTTTGGATCATGAACAAACAGCACCCCCAGGAGTCAATCTCCTCCCTACCACAGGGTGCTTCTAAGGCCCACTCTCTGGACACTAGTCTCTATATTGTCATAAATTAGTTTTCTCACTTAAAGTTGTCAGGCTCTCCTCCCTGGAAGCACTACCTGTCATCAAGAAAGAGTTGTCATTTCCAAAATTAATGTGCTGACAATCCAGATCTGACACTTTTACACACACTGTGCTTGTGTTATGATACAAATAACCATCCTGGTGCCATCCGAGGAAGAACATCCAGCCGCCTTCCTTTAGAACACCAATTTGCTGCAAGGTTGGTGCCTTTCAGTTGCCACTATGGATACATCATAGAGACAGCCATGAATCATTCATGAGCAATTCTACATGATTTATGCCTGCACTCAAAAGCAAAGACACTGCACACTTCAGCCTGTGTCTAGACAAAGTCATATTATACAGCTTTCTTTGCCCTGAGGTTGCCTATTGACAGTCCCCAAAATCCATATTCTTGAAAGAAAATAAGAATAATAATAATCATTATTATTATTATTACTATAAATGACAGGAATAAGGTCTAAAACTGAAAAAAATTACTAATACAGCCATGTAGCATAGACCCTTATCTATTATTAAGGAATTTCTATGTTCTTGTTAGAAACAAAGAATGTGCAACTTGGAAGCCAAGGTGTAGGAATTCTGCATCAATGTCTGAGCCCCCTGATTCTCACAGCAAGAATTCCGTGGGGTAGAGTGTAACAACCATCAAAACTCTTCAGAGAGTTCACCACTGGCAGCCATTCAATGGCCTCTGTTACAGACTTGAGAAGGGGATTTTCATCATTGTTCATGTTGGGTTGGGCCTAGTTTCTTTTGTCTGTTGGGTTATTCTTATGTTTTTTCCGTTTCACTACAACATGTCTCTCAATACTCCCAATCACCAATGCTTTCCCACTTTTAGGGAAGAACAAACCTATACTGTGAAAGAATTTCTCATAAACTGACAGACATTTAACAACTTTCTTCTAGCCAGGTTGACGAAAAATAATTTCCAAAGCTCTGAAATATCAGAGTTCTTCTCATCTCATCATGTTGTTGTTGTTGTTATTTCGTTTGAAGGCTTTGATTGCAGCCACACAGTCACCTCAGTGTTATCCTTTCTCTTCTGCCTTTGGGTCTTGGCTTTAAATTCAGCTTTGTTTAAATAAGGCATCAGCATCCTATTTATCAGCTGATGCCTGTTAAACTAATTCAGTTTCTAAACATCTTTGAAAAATGGTGTGCCTGAAAACTAGTGAGAGAGAGAGAAAAAAAAACACTGACCTGTAAAAAAGGGGGAATTCTAGCAACAATATTTGATGTGTAAAAGAATATATTATTAAAAAATTATTTTGTTAAATATAAAGTGTGTTAACCAGTGAACATTGTTTGTGGTATATTTCCTGCCCAAGTTTCTCATTCCTCCTCTCCTTCTTATTCAATGATGGACTCACAATGGCATCTGTCACCCTACAGCACATATGTCATTACAGCTGCAGCCAAATAGAATTAAGCTTTAACTCTAGTATTTGACTGAGTACATTTCCATTTTACAAAATATGAGGTAAGGCTGACTTTGGGGGTGTCACAAAAGGAGGCTAACTAAACTGCAAGTGGGAGTGTTTCAGATGGTAGGGTCAAACACCTTTCCTCACTCCACACCCATGTTCGGCACCACAGTGCTTAAGTGTGCAGGCATGCCAAGCACAGTGCCAGGCTCAGAGAATGCAGCATCATGTTCTGTCTCCATAACACACCTGAGAGGAAGGAATCCTGCCTGTGTTCTCACTACTGAGAAGGTAAGAATGTAAAAAAACCAAATGTTTTATCTAACATCCTGAGATGAGAAGTAGCCTTGAAGAGGAAAATAGCATCAGTATCCTTTACTTCCTGATTGTCCTGATCCAGTAGTTACTACAATTTTGCAGAATAGTTAACTATTTTCTATACATAACATAAAGCATGAATCCATTCATCACTAAAATGAAATAATCATCTCTTTTTTTAAAAAAGGTAGCATTTTCTTACAAAGGTATGTTATTATATTAAGAGATCTAGCAAAATTAGTAACTTTAAGACTGTCCAATATCCAGGCCATATTCAAAACTCTTAGATTTTTTAAATGAGAAGTAAGTTTGTTTATATAATCAAAAATGGCCTTATATTTGGTTGGTATACCTCTTAAATATAGAATATAGATTTGAACTTTGCCAACCATAGCTAAAATCTCTGACAAGATTCCTGGATTTGTTGTTTTTTGAAAATTTTTACTGAGAATATTATTCTTTTAATGTTCATGTTCAACCGTAAACTCACCGATTGACTTACAATAAGCAACAAGGAGCAAGGCCCAGAGAAAACATCATTGCTTACAACTAGTAGCCAGAATACATACCTTTGTCTTTCATGTATACAAACTCTAATCGGGTAGTAAGAATGAACTCTTATTGTCATGTTCTTTGAGACAAACTCATTGCCTAACACAAAACTACGTGGGTAGTATTGTATAACAGCCGTCAGTTTCTGCATTACTTGAGAAGGGAAAACATATCCACTAATAAAACATCAGCATGGCATACCACATAAAGACACACCTGTATCATGGTAACATTTTCATAAAACAAAATTAGACTTCCTAGCACTTAAATTCCCATACATTCAGTTTTCTACTCCCTTTGCCCTCAAAGTTTCATAGGGCTGACACCTTAGAAGTATGGGTGAGAACTGTGAATCAAGGCACAGATTTGAAACATTGATGGTATTTGAAGTTTTATGTGAACAGTACTCTTCTAAAAACAAGTATTTCATGATTGTGAAAGGCAAAACCTTGTCTGTGAGTCACCAAACTTACCTGTGTTTTCTGACCATATTTTTTTAATACATGAATGGGATTAACACTCAATTGTCCTTCTGGTATAAACACCTGAACGTCCCTGATCAATCTTATGTACAAAGAAGGCAGAATATTCAGTACATAAAAGTTAAATGAATGGAATTGGGGGAGGGGGATACAGCTCATTGTGTAAATGTTTGACACATAAGCAGGAAACCTGAGTTCAGATCTGCATCGCCCAGGTAAAAAACTGGGTATGGCCTTCCTGTGAATAAGGAAGTGAAAATAGGAGGATCTCTGAGGCCTATGGTCTGACTCATCTCATCTGATGATGAACAGGTACAATAAAAAGGGAGGAAGCAATATGGAAGAAATCTGAAGTCAAATTACAGTCTCCATCTGCACATGGCCGTAAACAGTTTGTGTACCACAAAGATACAAGCATATACCCACCACACCCCTTTTCACACAATGAATCCATGTGAATTTTTATCACTGGACTTTAAGGGTTCAATTTATTTTTAAATTACAAATACTTTCAGTGGAGGCTATGACAGGACTTGCGTTGACTTTTCAAAATGTTGAGCTCATCATTTTTTCCATTCCAGATGCTAAATACTTCCCATACTCCCATTATAAATGGATTTTTAGTACTTTCAAACAGCTACAACTGCTTCAATTAATTTTAAGTTAAAAGTCTTCCAATTAAAGACATTTTTCATATTTGGTACCATGCATGGGAGGAACTGGAATATAAAACTCAGATACCACTACTTGAGTTTCTTGGTGTGTTAGACACTGCATTGGCTGCTGCACATAAGACAGTGACTTGAATTTATTGGTTCAAGCATTTTCACAGCTATAGTGAAATTATCACCATTTTACAGGCTATAACACAGAATACAGAGAACATTTTGGTTTCTCTAGGCTTACATGCCTAGGCAGAACTATCTTCATATAGATTTGAAAGCACTAAATAGAAGAATCACATAGGGTAGTTTAAATGAAAACCTAGAAGATCTTATTGTAGATTAGCTGCCATTATCAGGACTTGGGGAGATAGAAAAGAGATAGATGAAAAGATACTGGATTTGAGTATGACATCTTATGTATTATTTGGGTATTTATTTAGAGAAATATTATTGTAAGACAGAAAAAACAATGGTATATTTTGAAGGTGACAAGCAGTCAATAATTGCTTTGATTATGAGGCTACAGAGGCAGGCATATACTAAGAGATGCATCTGGGAAGAAAATCCAATTTTCATGATCTGGAAACCCATACTAAGAAAATTGGACTTATTGACATTGTGGAATAATTATAATAAAATCAGAAGGTGCATGGCCATATTCATCTTTTCTTAAACAATTGGGACAGCAGATTAAATAATGAATTAGAGACCAGAGAGAGGCAGGAACAGTAATGGGGGACAATTACAAAAACCCAGGAAAGAAATAATGAGTATCTGATGCAGTATGAGTGAGACTCAAACTAGGCAGCTGATACAATAGCTCTTCACAGAAGATCAAATGGGGAGGCTAGAGTGAAAACAGTCACAACACTAGCTCACGGGATTAGAAGGATGTTGTTACAAACGGCAATAATCAATGACATGAAACCCACACTTTACTTGTAGTAGCACCTGTTCTCACTTTAGGACCCTGTGCCAAAGTTGCTAGTAACATATTAGATCTTTAGGATCAACTATATATACAATTGTCTCCCAGACACCACAACAATTGCCAGCTTATTTTCTTCTTGACTTGAGTAATTGCAACTTGAATATCCAAACTTCAAAACTGATCAAATGGGCTTTTTTATATAGTAATCTTGAGAAGAAAGTCTGTGTTCAGAAGGTAAGGAGAAAGCAATTGTTTCACTAGTTTTCTACAAATGTTAGTCTTATACTAAAATTTATCTGCATACTGTCAGACAAAATTACCCGTGGACTTCTAACATTTGCCTCTACACATATCTCTCTAGAAAACAAAAGGTTGGCTCTTTGTTTTCCACATTGTTGTTCAGCAAGATCCCTGAAATTAAAAAAAAAGAGTTGGTCAAATACCCATTGTGGACATCTGTTTTTGTTTTTTCATGGAACATGTAAGGGTAAATGGATAGTTAGGTCCAAAGAAGACCTTTTAATGTGAGGTCTCTTAAGATACCTAACTTTCTACATGCACATAGATGCACGCACACACACGCACATGCACACATACACACCAACATCACTACCACCACCACATACACATGTACATGTATGCTTTTTGTTGTTGTTTAATTTCCTATTAAATTAATCACAACATTGGGTCAGTGAGACCCATTAACTGCATTTCTCATTTAGACCTTTCAGAGAGGCAGCTGAAAATGCAATTTAATTTGTTGACCCATGATCAATAGCAATTAATAGTATCTCTTTAATCTTGTTGAAAGGCCTATCTCTGGCTTTCAGTAGCCACCATGTCAAGGGACACGTATCCACACATGCAGGCAGGTTAGTTTCTAGTTACCTTCAACCATGTACTTTTTCAGGGATGGTGTCCCTTTTAAAAGTTACTTTTCTCAATGTTTTCAGCCATCACTCCAAAGTTCATCTAGGTTGTATTTAAAGTTCCTCCTGTATAAGTCCATGGTATAAGTATGAGGGACCTGTACTGCTGAGGACAAACACCTATAAAATACATTTTAATCCAGAAAATTGATATACTATTTTAAATGTAAATGTTAATAAAAGTATTATATTTCCTAGGACTTTGTGTTATTATGTAACCAAGACAAATGATGCGATTCTGTCTTTTTCTCTTACTTGTCATATTAATTAAAAAGTTATCCCTTTGCTCCATAATTAGCTTTCCAGTAGAAAAGGAGATACTGTGGTTGAAGTGAGTGGCAGATTATCTTCCTACTCTTAAGGAGGGCACACTGTGACAAGGCAAACAAAGCAGATTTGTAGTAACAAAGGGATGTGTCATGATCTTAGTGTGAACACGGACAATGGCAAATAGATTGGCATAGACATGTGGGAAGACTTCCTGGGACATGGAACTTGCTTTTTTTTTGAGCTTTAAAAGAAGAATACACCAGCAGCCAAGAAGAAAGTAGTCAGTGTCCTCTTGCAATTTGTAAGGGGAGAGTTTCTTCTAACATAGCTCAGAACATGTAACTGTCCCATTTTGCTAATATAATCTATTCAAATCAGTGACCATGTGTCTGGCACAAAGTCAGGGCCTTGAAACAAATCAAAAGAGGAAAAATTGGCCATTTATATGTTATGCAAGAATCATTTATCTTGTCACTTCAGCTATATTTTCTATAGTCAGCTCACTGACCAGTGAGATTTTCTCCCTTCCTCTTTCCTCAGATACCAAGAGCACAGCATTTTCCAGAATTTGCATGTGCTTCTACATAGCTTACAGTGATTTTTCCTTCAATGGTCTCATCAACAGGCCATCTATATAGTAATGAACTAAGGGATGAGAGATGGAAGAAACTTATTAAAGAATCAGTAAGCAATCAGAGATATGTTATGTAGCAAGTATACTTTTTAAATGTATGTAAATGATATCAGGATAGTTACCTGCTCTGCAAACTCACAAGATTAGTTTTAAACCTAATACCCAATATATTTCTTGTATAATAGTTTCACAAGAGGATAATAAAAATATACTAGGCAGTGTCTTATACATAAATTTTGAGGTCAAGTGGCTATGTAAATATGAAATATATAATGTGTAAATTGCAAGTATAAGATGTCTTTGATACATATATATATTTGTATCTGTATAAATATCAAAATCTTATATAATTGTAAACAGCTATAAATATAATGGTAGACTAGTGGTTGTGTATCATCACGATCAAAAACTTGCTGTTTCCATCTGTCTCCTAAACTCTCTCTTCTATACCTAGAATTTGCAGGCTCATCTAGCTAACAACAATTCTTACCTCACCTTTGCTTTGCTGTGAAGCATTTCATTAGTTCTGCTTGTTCATAGATTTAATTTCCCATCCCTAATCATTTGTGCGTCACGTGCTCCATCGATTTCAGAGGGAGGCAGAGAACATGAGCAAAGGAGAGTTACAGAAAGGCATGAAACCCAAGCTGTTGGGGAGTCTAAAATCACTGCAGTGACAATGAAATTTATGTATCTATATAAAAAAAGGAAAAAGCATTTCTTATTAAATGTGCAAACTGCTAAGCATATGGTTGGGAGATTTTGTTTGTTGCCTTCAGTTGGGGTTGTCTTGCCTCTTCATTTTCAACCAGAAATATTTCCACTGAGAGGGCTTCTTAGTCACTCATGTGTCCTATCTGTTATCTGCCATGACCCTGAAGGGTACCATTCCCATGAGATGATCATTTCCCTGGGCATACAGATGTGCAACAGGGCACTTTCACACAGGTAGAAGCAAGTCCTCTCCATGCCACTTCCTTTGTTTATGAAGGCATTCTTGTATCCAGTTGCTTAGGCTGACAGTATCTTTGAGATCCCCAGAGAATCCTGAAATATTCCAGGAGCTTCTCAACACTCAATTGCATGTTTGTTCGCTGTGACAAGTATTCTGCTGTCAGGAATGTTAACTTTAATTGCTTGGTTTTGCTTTAGATGCCTACCTGAATCCCTGAGTTCACGAGTTACTGAGCACAAAGTCTACTCTAAAAACGCATAGAAAAGAAAGAGGCCCCTGTGCTACTTGTAAGTGAGAAAAAGAGTCACCAAGGACCCCATTTCCCTTTCCCATTCCTTCACCAAAATAACTTTTAGCAGTAGTCAGGCCACTGACTACCTAGACTCTAGGGTTATAACTCCAGGTTATAGTTTTAGGAAACATCATGATAAGATGTTCATTTTTCATAAAACATTTTGGATTCAAGTTGTCCTCCAATGAACTGGGAGGCCAGCCACTCAGCAGCAACACTGCAAAATGATTCATTTGTAAAACTGCAACTTTAAAAAATGAGGCAGTGCAAAGAATTATGATATTTCACACCATCAATGTAGCATGCAATGATACATTTTGCTCTTTGCACTGAACAAATAAAACCAGGGTATACATCTGTAATCGCATGTCCTGCCCCATTGACTTGCTCTTTCAGAAGAAAAGCCAGTCATCAAACTCATGCATCTATTGAAACAATGTCAACTCAGAAAAACACTCTTTGTTTACCATGTATCCATATTTCAGTGTGTATAAACCCACAGTATATAGGCTGTTGACCAGCACCATACTGTTTCTTTCACTGCTTTCCAGAGATGTAAAAGGACATCTTAGACCTACAACATGTCTGCACTGAAATACAGTTAGAAACACGCTCTGCTCAATGCTTAAGAGAAGTTGCTGTGTGTCCATGAAGACTTGAGTTTGGATCCACGCATCCATAATACCAGGGGAAAAAGGACATAGTTTCCCTTGTGTATGTAACCCCAGTGTATGGAAGCCATAGGCAGGAGGATCACTGAGCCTTGCTGGCTATGAGTCTAACAACAACAACAAAAAGTTAGCGCCAGGTTCAGGAAGAGAACCTGCCTCAAAGGAGGGAAAGGATAGTAGGCCACCCAGTGACCTCTGACCTCTGTGCATTCGTATTCAAAGATGTGCATATACCATAAATACATACACAGGATTAGAAAAGCAGTTTCTAGAAAAAGAAATGGGGAGGTACCCTAAACCATTCCTCAGACAATGAAATACAAATTTTGCAAAGTGATTAATTTGAACAATTGTATATTTAGAATCATAAGAACTGGGATTAAACTGAATAGTCTGGTCTAAAATAATTTTCATTGAGACATGATTTTATGTCCATTGATAGGTTAAATAAATCAAGTCACTATAAAGGTTTATCATTTTATTTTTATTTTTTACTTTTTGTTTTTCAAGACTGTTTCTCTGTGTAACAGCCCTGACTGTCCTTCAATTTGATCTGTAGACCAGGCTGACCTCAAACCCACATAGATCCACTTGCTTCTGCCTCCCAAGTGCTGAGAGTAAAGGCATATGCCACCACTGCCCAGGTAGGCTCACTTCTTAAAGGCTCTGTAGATTTCTGTGAATCGTTTCTATAAGGCCAAACACTTTCCTCCTTTAGATGAAGAATTTATTCTACATGACTATCTCATTTTATATTACTGTGGCAAGAACCCTTAACATGATATCAGCCCTCTTAATGAAGCTGTAAGTGGGCAATACAGTAATGTTGGTCTAGGTTAAAAATTGTGTGGTGTATTTAGAATTTAGTTATTTTGCTTGCCATTCATTTCATAGCTGTTGACCAGTATCTCCTCCTTCTCTCCCATCTGTACAGTCACCACTCCGTACTTTGATTTTATGACTTAGACTCCTCTGTGGTAAAAACAGAATCACATGGTGCTTATCTTGAGAAACTGGCTACTTTCACTTAGCACAGTGTCCCTCAGGGTTCACCTCCATTACCATACCCTGGAACATCTTCCTTTCTAAAGGCTGATTTTTAATCCATTATATGCACTTACATTTTCTTTATTTGTCTACCAACAGACATTTTACATTATGTCTACTTTTTCTGTTATGACTCTTATTATAATAAAAGGGGGCATCGATGAGCATTTTTAAACTTTGAATTGCATTAATGATACAGAAAAGCACACACTGTAAATCATACTTACAATGTTGGATTCATAATAAACGAGTCACAAATACCCCAGAAATCATCATGTCTTCCTTATCAGTACCATCACCACCATCAAAGGAGATCTCTCAACTAAAGTTGGCTGAACTAACAGCAAAATTAGTTTGGGGCCTGTTCTGAAACCCTATTTAATAACCCCATACAAGTAGGTATCTCCCAAACTTTTCGCTCAACATTTTGTTAAAATCATGACCTTGATTCTTTTTATTCCTCATAAGAAAAATATTTAATTTCATTATCCATTCATTTCCAAGGTGAAGAATAATTATTAACATTTAAAATTAATATGTCATTCAAAGATCAGAAATCAGAGAAATCTCTGCAACCTAATTCTTTTCCTCTTCTAGGGAACTTTTAATGCATAGGTTAATATAGGAATTTGCTGGACCCCTGCACTGGCAGGCTGAGCCAAGGTAAGTGAGCATGGGGCTGAGTTTCCAGCTTTAGAGAGAGCTCGCTCTTCACTGTAGTATTTGCAGCTGGATTTGTTACACATCACTTTCTCTACTTCATTCTTCAGTAAAGTCTTTTGCTAGCCTAGAAAGAGAAATGAGACTTCCTGACAATTGAGTGGTCATCTCTGGAACAGAGAGGAAAGTGTCATGACATCTAGGGAAGTGTCATTTGAGCCTTGAGGGATCCAAGAACAACTTATCCCAGCAGCTAATGTGTGCCTTGAAATATTGCCTTGCCTACCACATTAGCCAAACCTCCCCATGGCTCCCTCAGTTCTAAAATTCCTCACACCCAGTTTGGACCAGACCGGTGCTGTTCTTTCAATTTTCTAAACTGTTATTGAAAATCTCATGATTCCGTAATTACTCCTAAGGGATAAAAGAGCTCCCTTCCACAGAACTACAGGTTGACAGGGCACTTAGCAAGACCCTGGACACACAGTAAATGTTCAATAATCAGCTCTTGAATAAAGAGGTTAATGAAGAGAAAGTAGTAAATAAAACCGTAGGCATCCTCAAAACATACAATTTTACCCCTGAATCTTTTGGCTTTTTCCTTCTCTTGGTGTTATATCAGGAGAAATGTGCAATTGTTTCTAAACTAATCAAAAAAGAACTCTCCAGTGAGAATAAAATTACATTTGAATTTAATAAACACAATAGACTACTTGTTTCCAGAAATGTGTGTGCTATAGTTTCCTTAAATTAAAGGTCCAGTTTAGTATTGGGGGCTAAAGCCCCACAAATTAATGGAAGGTCTACAAGGCAGGGATAATTCATCAAAAAGATACATATTAATGCATCTCAGGCATTGGATCAAATGTCTGTTGAAATGACATTTTATAAAAACCTATAGTGTGCATACTTTCCCTCACATCTAGTATTAATAGATCTACCTAGGATGAATCATTTGGCAGAGAGAGGAAATGAAATAGGCAATTTTATGTTTGTTTATTTTTATGTTCACCTACTGTTTCTTCAGAGAAATTAGACTATTTGGCTATGCTTCTGGGAATCTTAGAATGATCAAAAGAGAACATCCATTCAAAGAATTTTGGTTTTCTTTCTAAATGGCGCCAATAGGTACACCATGATTCCACTCTTTGCAAATATAGATGGCCATTCAGCATACTACATGTCTCTTTTTTCTGTCTATCTGTCTGTGTATGTGTGTGTGTATATGTGTGTGTGTGTGTGTGTGTGTGTGTGAGAGAGAGAGAGAGAGAGAGAGAGAGAGAGAGAGAGAGAGAGAGAGAATGTGGGTGGGTGGGTGTGCATATGGAGGTCTGAGGTGGATGTCAGAAATTATCTTCAATGGCCAATCTACTTCAGTCACTGAAGTAGAATCATACCAATATGGTATCTTCAATAGCCAATCCACTTCAATCACTGAGGAAGACTCACACAGATATGATAGCCTCAGTGGCTCCACTTCATTCACTGAAGCAGAACCACACTGATATGCTATCCTCAATGGTTTGTCCACTTCATTCACTGAGGTTGAAGCAGACCAATACAGTATCCTCAATGGCTTGTTCACTTCATTCTCTGAAGCATGGTCACACCAATATGGTATTCTCAATGGCTGGTCTACTTCATTTACTGAAGTAGAATCACACCGATATGATTTCCTCAATAGCTGGTCTACTTCATCCACTGAGATAGAATCACACAGATAGTGTGTCCTCAATGGCTGATCCACTTCATTCGCTGAAGTAGAATCACACCAATATGGTATCCTCCTCAATGGCTGGTCCACTTCATTCACTGAAGTAAGGTCACACCGATATGGTTAGTCTCACCAACAAGTTTGCTCTGAAGATGTCCTGTCTCCACTTAGACACTGGAATTGCAAGCAGGTTATCATACCCACCTGGCATTTTATGTCATTTCTGTTCACCTCAAACCCTTGTCATTATACTTGTCAGCAAACAAGCCCTTTAAGCAATGAGCCATCCTCCCAACCCAGCACATTTTTCTTATGAAGTTTTTTTTTATGGGACAGATTCCAAAATTGGAATGGGGTTCA